TCGGAAGAGCCATGTGAGATGGATATTGATCCGCCGATCGTTTCCTTCGCCGATGCTGGCGAAGAAATTTCCAGTTTGGTTACTGCACGGAAGCGAAAGTCGGACAGTGCAGGATCCCCCTCATCTCCCAAGGTTAGTTGGAATTTATTGTGAGATTCGGGACGATCTGAGAGTTTTCCAGTGCCACCAAAGTCATTTGTTTTTATTCCGAAAGCTCAAGGAAGTTTGTCAAAAAAAAAGTTGTGCAAATAATTTATTGTACTAAATTACTTTTAATTGTACGTGCAGTATTTTGAACATTCTGAAAAGTTACGAGATTTTGTGGCTGTGAACCAAAAAATGAGGAAGGTTCACGACTGTTGAGTGACTTTCATCATCGTCGTCCTTTGTTTTTCCTGTTGAAAAAGAGCCATAATTATTTCAAGTGGGAGGAAATATTTTTTGATTGATCCAATTAAAGAGAATGACGTTGATAGATTCTTCCAAATATTTCACTGTGACGGTATTTATTTTGAGTTCCTTAATTTTTTGTCGCGTTTCTTATAGAAAAATAAAAATGGAACAGACTCTGAGGAAATTTTCTCTCCGGCCTCGTCTTCAAAGATGTCGATCGCAACATCGTCTGGCGAAGAAATTTCCAGTATGGTTACTGCAAGGAAGCGAAAGTCCGATAGTGCAGAATCCCCCTCATCTCCCAAGGTTAGTTGGAATTTATTGTGAGATTCGTGACGATCTGAGAGTTTTCCAGTGCCACCAAAGTCATTTGTTTTTATTTCGAAAGCTCAAGGAAGTTTGTCAAAAAAAAGTTGTGTAAATAATTTATTGTACTAAATTACTTTTAATTGTACGGGCAGTATTTTGAACATTCTGAAAAGCTACGAGATTTTGTGGCTACGAGATTTTGTGGAAGTTTGTCAAAAAAAAGTTGTGTAAATAATTTATTGTACTAAATTACTTTTAATTGTACGGGCAGTATTTTGAACATTCTGAAAAGCTACGAGATTTTGTGGCTGTGAACCAAAAATTGAGGAAAAGAAGATAATTGTGATCTTTTGTTCATGACTGTTGAGTGACTTTCATCATCGTCGTCTTTTGTTTTTCCTGTTGAAAAAGAATTATAATTATTTCCAGTGGAAGGAAATGTTTTTTGATTGATCCAATTAAAGAGAATGATGTTGATAGATTCTTCAAAATATTTCACTGTGACGGTATTTATTTTGAGTTCCTAACTTTTTGTCCGTTTCTTATAGAAAAAGAAAAATGGAACAGAGTCTGAGGAAATTTTCTCTCCGGCCTCGTCTTCAAAGTTGTCGATCTCAACATCGTCTGGCGAAGAAATTTCCAGTATGGTTACTCCAAGGAAGCGAAAGTCGGACAGTGGAGAATCCCCCTCATCTCCCAAGGTTAGTTGAAATTTTTTGGGAGATTCGTGACGATCTGAGAGTTTCCCAGTGCCACCAAAGTCATTTGTTTTTATTCTGAAAGCTCAAGGAAGTTTGTCAAAAAAAAGTTGTGTAAATAATTTATTGTACTAAATTACTTTTAATTGTTCGTGCAGTATTTTGAACATTCTGAAAAGCTACGAGATTTTGTGGCTGTGAACCAAAAATTGAGGAAAAGACGATAATTGTTATCTTTTGTTCATGACTGTTGAGTGACTTTCATCATCGTCGTCTTTTGTTTTTCCTGTTGAAAAAGAATTATAATTATTTCCTGTGGAAGGAAATGTTTTTTGATTGATCCAATTAAAGAGAATGATGTTGATAGATTCTTCAAAATATTTCACTGACGGTATTTATTTTGAGTTCCTAACTTTTTGTCCGTTTCTTATAGAAAAAGAAAAATGGAACAAAGTCTGAGGAAATTTTCTCTCCGGCCTCGTCTTCAAAGTTGTCGATCTCAACATCGTCGGGAAAAAATGGCGATGAATATCCGAGTTGGCGTCTGCCGAGAGATGTTCTCGAAAAAAGGGTGCGATTCGTTAATCGTTTTAATTTTTTAAATAATATAACCGAGCCATTTTCTTGTCTTCTCTCAAGGGACTTCACAACGTGTTTTCTGGAATGTCATTTCATGTGCCAGAGGATATTCCCGACAGAAACAAGCTTGTTCGTTACATAGTGGCGTAAGTTTCACTGATAGCCTCATCTTGGCTTCTGTTAGCTTAATTTACATAATTTTGAATTTATTTCTTTGAAGATATGACGGAGAACTTCTCGAAGGGAAGGATTCTGCTTCTCGAGCAACTCACATACTAAGTCGGAAGAAAATCGTAAGTTATAATTCAGTGCAAAATGTTGGTCATTTCGTTGATAACTGATCCAAAATTTCCAGAATGCGAACGGAATGGGAAAAGTCGTTCCTGTTACCTGGGCCTGGGATTGCATAAAAACGAGGAAACTATTACCTGAGGGAGGCTACCCGAAGAAATGATGGGTTGTCGGAAATTGAAAAGCGTCACAAACTATTTTAATTATTTCACTTCGAGAATGCCCGCTGAGTCATTTTTTCTTCGGTTGCGCACGAATGTCGCGAGATTTATAAATTGACAGATCGATCACGAAACTTGATACCAGGCAGCAAAGATGTAAAACTATTGTTTCTGCGACTTTATTTAATATGTCATGCGATTTTTATCTTTCTGAAGGCTGATTGATGTCCAAATCTTTGGGGTGTTTTATTCTTTTTTTATGTCTGTTGTATAAAAATTAGAACGATATGTTCTGACCATGCATAGCATTTACAGTTCATTACCTGCCGCGATTTGAGCTTTGGGCTGGGAAGTTCGCGTGTGGATGGATACTGTGAATTGATTCCGAATTTTGTAACGCGCGGAATACGGTTTGTCTCTTCCTTCGCCTCAATTGCGAGGTTCAGTCGTGGATCATGAATATTCTTCCGAAAAAGAGGTGAGCTGATTGATTGAAACGAAACAAAAAAAGTTCCTTTTTGTGGAAAAGTACGTACTTTATGTTCGTTCAAAGCGGCTCGGTCGCATGTCTGCTTCAGACTTCTTCTTCAAGTATTTTTCGATTTATTTACTCATTCCGAGAGATCGTTGCGTATCTATAATGAGCTTTTTTAATTCTCAGCTGGCATGTGCGGAATAAAGACAATGTCGCCAAAGTTCGGGCGGATGAGGCGAAAGCACGAGCAGAAGAGGAGGAAAAAGATAAACGTCGTCAGTTAGCGGTTGGTAATAACTCAATATGGTTTTATTTCGAGTGAGCCGCACATATGGTATCTACGAGAGAAACAAAATGCTATAATTTCTCATCCCGGTGCCCTTCTGCCATGAAATTAAAAGAACTAATAACTCCATAACCTCTCCATGCCCATACCCCTACCTAACTCTGAACATAAAAACTGATAGCGATGGCAAACATTTTGTTCTTTCATAAGTTTCAAGTCTTATTCAAGAGGTGCCTCACTAAGATGAACTAATGTTCGCTGTTCACTCTGCTGTTCCCAGAACCTTCCTTAATTTTTAAATTTGTTGTGGGCAGGAATCAGAAGCAAGAATCAATTACCTGCGCCTAAAACGACGTCGCGATAACGAAGAAGAGGCATCCGAAGATAAACCTGTCGAAAGCGCATCTGAAGGCGCCGGCACAGTAGCAGTCATCACAGATTCGCGCGGCCATCTCAACTTTTTCCTCGATCGAGAAAGCGGACAAAAGGACAAAGGTGACATTAGACAATTTTTTTGGAACTCACGACATTCTAAATTTCTTCGATTCCATGGAGAGATCGTCCATGTTTGGAAGGAGCTTTACGAGACAATTTTTATGACATCGCAGGAATTAATTCCACATGCACTTATTTTGGTTCGCTGCAGTAAGGATAAGGATTAGGCCTTTGCAATATCAAAATACTCGGTACCTTACGTGCATTTGCTGAGGATTTTTTCAGTGGAAAGATTTTTGCCAACAGGTGAAAATGCTGAGTACGTTAAGGAGGAGAAGGAAGAGCGCGAGAAATACGAGAAAAGCGTCGGGTATTTGACGTACCTCGGTCAAGACACCGATGAAGCCACGGGAAATCGCCCGTGGTACGAGAAAATCGATCGTATCAAGTCAGACTCCGGAGATTCTTCCAAGCTCCCCGAAATCCATTCAAAAATAAAATCTCGTGAAGATCCTTTACAGCTTTTCAAGAGCTTCGTGAGTGCCTCCCCTTCCGTTTCGAAACCGGCACCGGTAGTGAAGTCGACTGCAGAAACGGCGCCATTGAAAGCAATCGAACCGAGAAAAAAGGATGAGAAAAGCAGGAGAAAAATTAAAAAGATGAAACGTAAAATTAAGGAACTGAAGCGTGCGGCGAAAAGAAAGCGATTGGAAGAAAAACGCGACAAGAAAAGCAAGAGGCACAAGACTGAGCGGAAGAAATCTCACCGGAAAGATTCAAAACCCAAGAGAAGCAGTGACAAGGTTCGTGAGATGTTATCATCATCATCATCGTCAGCTTCGACGTCGGATGCGGAAATGTCGAGTGACGAAGATAGCTCATCAAAGAGTGATTCTGGAAAGGTGGACATGGACGCATTGCGAGCCGCTCGCCTGCAGAGAGAACGAATTGAGAAAGAGCGCATACGGAAATTCCTTAATCCCGTCTCTGAGAAAGCCGAAGCCAAAGTGAGCAAAGACGCAGAAGATAAAGGAAAGAAGCCCAAGTATCATTCTCAGTATAACCCAATGGACGCTAAGCAGTCACTGGAAACTGGTCGTAAATATTGGCTTGAATGATCATCTTCGATCGCTTTGGAGCTCCAGATGCACTTCCGCCTGCTTTTTCTTGCGGGTTCTGGGGGCCGGGGGCGTCTCATGAGGAATGAAAATTCCCGTGGGCATTATCGGATTCTTGCCCAGCACTCAAAACGATGTGATATTCAGTAATACAGTATGCTTTTTGTGGACTCCACTGTTTATGCCGTGCTGTATATGCAATTTTTCCTTGAAAAACTATCCAAGTCTCATTCTTTCGGTAGTGTATAATTCAGCTGCACCAATTTACGAAAGGTTTCATGATTTTCGCGCGGAATCCAAATTTTCAAACCTCATCTTTGAACAATTAAATTTAGAAGAATGGCGGTCCAGAAGAACGTATATACAAGGTGTATGATCAGTGTTCGTAAAAGCTGCTGTAGAAACTGTATAATTGCCAGTTTTGTTTGAACTGTATAATTGCCAGTTTTGTTTGCCGGACTATTTGATAACAGGGACATCCTCAAGCTACTGGCAAACTAGTAGTGGCGGGAAGCACTTCTAGCTGACGTTATTCTGATTATTTAAACCATGGTTACGAAACGTTGGGGATGTATTTTTGGAGTGTGTCCATAGCATCTTCAAGATAAGTTCAATTCTGTGTATATCCTCTAATATAAAAATTATGAATTAAAGCGCAATTTGAATCCATGCATCTGAACACCTAAACGGTGATCAAATGGAACGGAGTTCACGCGACACCTATGTAACGGCGAATTTAATCAAGTTGCTAACTGATGGCTTAAGGAAGAGAAGAGCCGCACTTGCTCATCAGGAGAACACTGTACAGTACCAAATTTTAGGAAACTTTCTTACACAAGCGAATTAAGATACAGTACAGTACTGTATACTCGTTCTTATATCGAATGTAATTCCTTCTCCACAGCACAGGAAATAATTCTATGTAATGCTGGGGATTTCTGCAAAAGCTATTGTTCTCAATGTGAATGTATATTACAGCATATATACTGTATATACAAATGGTATATCCAGTACTGTATATATATACATGGAATATACAGTACTGTATACATATTTTGTTTTGAGTGTCCTGAAACATTCAGCAGGGATTCACATGTGTCGCAGGAAAAGCACAGTAGGCATTTTTCAACGCTGTATATATGTACAAACGTTTTTTTTTCTTCTTTAGTGATCCTTTCAGTATTTATGCTGAAATTGTTTCTTTCATGTCTCGAGTGAAAGAAGCGCATTTTGTGGATGTGCATCGCTGAACCGAGCCGCGTTTTGCGAGCCAATTTTCCCATGGCCCGGGAAATCCTTCTTTGTCCGGGAATCCAATAAATTCGCTTGTATTCTGCCAATATTCAATCCAGACTCCATCATGGGGTTCGCATGAAACTGTTCAGGAAAGAGGAAAAATCAAATTCCGAGTCGAAATTGGGACCGAACGATAAAGACTACACAAGCGTAAGCATTACAATTATGTACCAGCATATTTTATTGCCGAAAATATATCAAGCTTTCCAATAAATTTCAACAATGAGTTTGGGATTTCATGATTTTTTAAGTTTCACTGCATATAAAAGGTTCCGCTTTGAAGCATGCAAAAAGTATTTTTCATGAATGAAGACTCTATATTTGCTCCATGAGGATCCATATAAATTATTTTTCATATTAGAGAAGTTTCAAGTAACCGATTTTATTTCTTTAAGAGAAAAATGCCGTTCTTTGCCGTGGAAATTGCCTTCCAGAACTGTCCATGCCGTACCTGATGTTGGTTTCATGAAAAATTTGTAACATTTTCTAGACGTACGCTCATATGTTCATATATTTCTCAGTACAGTATATACACAGCATATGAGTATTATAGGGTACTGCAGTAGCATAATTTGATATCATCAGTCCAATTTTTATTCTTGAATTTTACGCCTACGAAACACTAATTTTTTTTGGCAGCTGTATGTGCTGAGGGCTGAGTTATTAGTTTTGTTACGCTCTTTCCGCTCTTTACGTTGGAGTTTACTAAAATCGATGGAGGCGAACCGTCAACATCAATATGCTCAAGTTGCTTTCAAAATGCATTGACTAATAATTCCGACATTCAAATAAAGGGAACCTTGTGCACATCAAAGTTACCTTGAAGCTTCCGTATTCAATTCAAGGAAAGCCAATACAGTACAGTATGGGCACTGAATAAAACACGACGACGTTTCTTGCCCGCATTCGCGACGCGCTTCGGAAGGGCTTCCGCGCCAACAAATCGTACCCCATTAATCCTTACTCAACTTACGCGTACTTCTGCGCCATTTTCCACCCCAGATTAGCCAGGGATGATCAGGCATGAGCTCTTTTCCTTGCAGTCAATGCTGGTCAAAGAGGGTGAACAAGTCCTGAAAAGCTGTCGCAAGTTTGTTCCTTATATATGAAGAACGACGAGGTAAAGCAGGTGACGAAGACAGAGACGAAAGCCGTGACACACACCGAGCCGACCTTGAAGGCATTTTCGAAGTTTTATAGCGACAGCTGACCTAGTGGTGAGGGGCGGAAAGAAAAACCCGGTCGACCGATGAGTGAAGGGCGCGAAAGTAGGACTGAAACGAAGCGGTAATCGTTGGTCTGTCGAATCGAATGTCAGACGTTATTAAAAAAGAGAAGAAAAGAGCGGCATGAAAACTAACAGCTCTGAAGGAATAAGTCAAGCAATCTCACGGCTTCGTGTTCGTATTTTCACGACGCCCGCGCCTGCTTTTTTTCTGCTGACAACTTAAGCCACGTATCTTGTGCTAAAGACCGGGAGATGAAGGAGTGAAGAAAGGGATTGAGAATCCTTCTGCTGGCTAACTTCAGATACTGCACTGCTGAGGGGTGAGCTTATGCATGCTACGCTTGATCAGGCTTCTGTTGCGTTAAGCCAAATGCAGGTTTAAATCAAGGAGCTGGCCATTAGTAGCGCACAAAAACAGTGATCGCAACCCCTGAAAGATCGCGTTACCCGTTTAAAAAATTCAATGTAGGTGTCGCTACAAATAAACGTGGCTTTTAGATTTTCCCAACTCTATGTTTTCTCAACATGAATGTACTATATCTTGAACTTGAATCTAGTAATGTACAGCATATATAGAGTATAATGTCAAATTTATGCGAGTTCGGGTGAGTTATTCTCTTAATTATAGGAATTAAGTCGGGTTAGCTGGTTATATATGTGCTTTTTAGTTTTGGTTGTCCTGAAAGAAAACTCAAGTGCGTGGGACACACAGGTGGACTCAGCTCTGCAATGATCTTATTTACAGTATAACAATCTTTTATGCATAAAGAATGTTTTGGGCCCATACAATGCTATAGGGGTTCTCCACAACAAGATTCTCTCTACAACAACTGGTCCCAGAATGTTGTTGCACAGAGAATCTACCTGTAATTATTTCTTGCTTAGCTTTCTCTCTGTTATTTCAACTTCCATGCATTTCCCTAATCCAAAATAAGAGCTCCTGGAATTTAGGATAGGGTTGATGAATGTCAAACCATCAGTAGGCAGCTGTTGGCATGTGTACAATTGAAAAGTCATCCCTGGAAAGCTGATGTTTGCAGCATATTCAGCAATCAGCTGACTTGATGAACTCAGCACTATATATAGTCCAGCAGTTTTTGCTGTAGCGTTTTCCAGGACTGAATATCAGTGCAGTACTCATGCAACGGCAACACCTAATAGGGAAAGGAAAGGACACTTTTTTCCATTTGGAATATCGACTGTATGCACACAAAAAAACGAAAAAAAATAACTCCCAAGTGTAATGCACATCATAATCGAATAAAATAGAATCTAGAAGATGAAATTTTATTATTATTTGCATGTAGTAATTCGCCATATACGCAAGATTCCACGAAAGTAAACTCGCTCTATAATATTGTACCTGGTTTATACCATTTTTAAAAATCGACCCAGGCTTTATATAAAAGCTGATTATCAGCAGGGATTGCGATTTGAGTTTGACGAGATCATGTGTTGTTTCATCAATAAATCTGAAGTTCTGTGCTCCAATTTACTGAGCACTTGTGACTGTTGTAAGGATTCATGGCCAAAAGGATATGCAGTTTGGGCATGATTTGAAATTAGATACATAGCTCATTTTTAAATTATCGAGTAAATTACGTGCAGTCCTTCGGAACCAAGTGTTTCATAATGAATTAGGATAATCCGGCTGTTGGCTCACAGGAACTCTGGCATATTCAAACAGGAGCTGCTTTTTAATTTCCTGCTGATTTCTTTATGTTACTGCTGATTTCTTCCATAGATCTTTCAAAACAATAAATCATGCAACGGCAGTTGTTCTACTCATTTAAGCTATACTTTTCTGGAGATGGCTGTTCTCTCTTTTTTTCTCATTTGGTGATGGCAACACTCCGCATAAAAGTACCTGTACATGAGATTTCTGATTTTTTACCTTTCAAGAGGTAAAGTATGTACTGTATAAATTACGAGGACATTGAAAGAAGAGACAGCCATATGTGATGCTTTTCTGTTGAAAAGTTGAACACTACCATGTCTTGTAGTGCTGGTAAGACCCAGAAAATAATTCAAAAAAAATCTTGGGCATGCACTGGATGAACACATTTTGTTTTCTAAGTCTGCTTTTGCTGAAATCCTTGAATGATCAACCAACAGTCCTGGATACCTTATGGATTCATGTACCAACACTATATCCCATGCACAGTACACGTGGACTCTGATTTTTGAAAAGAAATATTGATGAAGATCCCTCTTGAGAGTCTTGACAAAAGATAGGAGATGTTACTTTTACTTGATGTGCAAACAATTATCGTACCAAATTTTGTTGAGACAAAGAGATAGTTACTTATTATGCTGAGCTCAATCTTGCTGTGGATTAAAATCCACTAGTATCGCACATACTTTTAATTTTTGAAAAAAAATTGAATTTCCTCTTGTCCCAAATGTAAATTTTATCTGTACCATACTGTATATACACAACAGCTGTTTTCTTGCCACATGTAAAGAAGAAAAAGAACATTATCACTCATGGTTACGCTACTTGATTTTTGAAAAGAATTACTTTGGAGTTTTCCGCAAACCTGAATGCAGTTGGACTTCGCAAAGTTAAAATTCCCTGGGTTAAAATTACCTTCAAATGAAAAAAATTACTGGAAAATTGGTGGGCACATTCTATTGAAGAAGAAGATGTCATATTTACTCATGCACAAAACAATGTTTTATTAATGAAAAAAATTGGGTTTGCCTCGTGCTTGCAAAAATCGTTTTAAAAAAACCAATTTTCATATGCAATGTCAACTTTAACAGAGCAATATACATATTTTTTTTAATCAGTCATTACCCTAATACAAGAGGAGTACAACAATAATTGAAACCACAGTATTTAAAACTAAATTTCGCAAACCTCATAATTTTGCAGTTTCCTGTATATTTCAATTACCTCATACAGAGGGTGAGGTTTTTTTCTGATCTTTTTAGTTTAAAAAAATACAATTTTGACTTATCTTCCACAAATGATGCGTGTGGCACCTCTGTTATAAGGTATTGAAGAATTAATTTTTTTTTAGAATGCAATGCATTTTTTCAACAGCCACCTTAGTCAAATTTTCGAAGACTTTCGGGCTAAAATTCAACGACCGCATTTCATACTCAATTTAACTGCCGACAGTTTAAAAGCTGTCTTTTAAACTTTCTTGATGTATGAAACGAAACCAATACACTGAAACAAATCACTCTTCAGCATTCTGCTCATATAATGCATCGATTGATAAACCTTTGCCTATTATTCCATTTTCCCAAACTCGAAAAAACTCCCAAAGTGAATTTTTTTTAGCTAGTGGGCCAACTTTGAATTTGATTTATTGAGAGAGATCTCGCTGTAATTCATACGCGTTTTTGCGCAAAATGTTTCCCTTGCCAAATTTTGTAAAGAAGAAAAAATATGAGGCGCGTTCATTTCGGTATGCACCTGAGCTTGCTGTACATTTACATTCGCTTCGAGTTTGACCTCACTTATACCCGGACGGAGGGTGGCTTTTCTGGGTCACGTTGCGCGTTCGCCGGCGGGTCTGGGCGGGATGAGCTTGAGGAGCTGCAGTCGCGTGCTGCAGTTAACGGACAACGCAGCTAGCGGAGACCTTGTTGTGCTTCCTTTGCCCCGTATATTTGCTTTGGGCTGTGAATTTCATTCCAAACTCTTCCTATTTCTCTTCCACTGCATATATACTGTATATTAAGGAAACGTGTGGGAGAGCTAGAATGCTTTACTTTATTTTTTAAATTTCAATATCCCGCTTATATGTCACTCTCAATATTTCGTGGCAGACGTACAGCAATGAGTTCCCGAGATGCGGACGTGATTTTTTCTCCGGCTGTGTCCTTATGTCGGTACGTGTGCATGTCGGATCACATTTTATTTTAGGCTTCGATGTGAATAGTTTTTATTTTTTTCTGCTGTTCGGCAAAAAATGGAAAAAGTGCTTTAAAAATTGCAATTAAAATGTTTTTCTTGACATTAAGCGGAAGAATATATGTCTGTGCAGAAGAAAAATCACACAAAATCTGCTCTTTTGGCGTGAAACACAGGCATTGCTATACTGTACTGTGCATGGCCTCTAAAATAAAAGAAAACTCTGAAAAGAAAAGCACTCTGAAAAGTTTGCTTGTTATAGATTATAAAAAAGAGCACATTTGCAAAAAGGTTCAAAGTCAATTTTTATACATATCAAGAGCTCAATTTGTCCAAGAGATATACAGTACACATTTTGACGATTAATATTAACATTTTTTTAAATGTTACCAAAGTGTTTGTATCTCGAGACATTGTCCAGATGTCGGGGCAGATTTCCTGTTTTAAATTTGTCCGCAAGTAAGATCGCCCGTATGTTGGGGCGTCCGTATGTCGTGGTCCCACTTTCCTAATTAGTTTCAATTTATCGAATAAAGGACCTTTCAGATCAGAATTAATTTAGACTGTGCATTACGGTGCGAAAGTTATCCGTAATACTGTATTAAAAATGCTGTATTTTTCTGGAAAATACCGTATTTTTTTCCGAAAGTTGGGTGCGGCCTATATTTCGACTTATTCGAGAATAGGCCGCAGTCTCCTAGTGCACTCTATTATTGTGATGATAATGCGACGCCTGCTATCAAACGAACTGGTTTCGAAAATTTTAAGGTGCCCTTTTATCATTGGAAGGTTTTACAACTGTATTATACGGTATGTTATTTTCATTTAGCCTCATAGTAACCCTCTTTCTTGAAACTTCTTCGGGCATTACATTTCTAAAAAGATCGAGAGGTTTGTCCAAGAATGAGCCGCGAAAAGGGTATTATTTGACGACAGTTATACCCGCCATTTTCTATCATAATTTTCTTGCTCGAAATTCAAGGTGCAAATGATTTTCTCACACAGCTTATGTATACTGTCATAGCGTGGATACGGTCTTTCGTTATACAGAAAATATTTTTGTAGATGAGCAAGTGTTTTAAGAAAACCGGGTCTTACGGAGTCAGAAAAATTCAGTGCAGCATGGAGGAGGTCGTTCTGAGGGAAATCGTAACAGGGAAAGTCTTTCAGCAGTCATATAAGTGTGATGTACGATATTTGTGCTTTTTGGGTGTCAAGTATGCGGTAATCGAATGAAAGTTTTAAGCATATAATGTAAATTTTCAAATTTCAATGGAATAAACTCGGGAGATCTGATTGAAATCCCCGCGTTTGCTGTTCAATATTCGGACTTATTAAAATTGTATCCGCACGACTTCTTTCAAGTTTTCGAGAATTTTTTCCACTATTTTTTGTCTTGTTTTGAGGAAAATAATTTCAGAAGTCATACGTGATTTGGATTGTTTGCTGCTGCAGTTACTGTATTTCCAATATGAACGAGAATGTGGTCAATGATTTCATGCAAAGAAAAAACCGTTCAAAAATGTATCCCTGAGGAGGATTTCGGGAACAATGTACTTATGCGAGGATGTAATTAAGTACCGACATTGTCAATTTATCATATTCTCTTACCATTTTGAATCTATGAAAATTTCTGTGGATATTTCTTCCAATCTGACCGTTTTTACAGCGTCCGTGGAAATTGATTGAATCCCAGTGTATTGAAAATTCAACTTTATCTTGCGAAAATTAATCGGCAACGACGACCCGACGGGTTCGTTGAAATTCGGTGAAAACAAAACTACTACAGTACTGTCTTTCTTGTTCATTCAAGTGCTTTACCTCGAATCTACATCCAGGTAGATTCATACATTATTTCCTTTGTTGAATTTGCGCGGTTTTTGCTTTTGGACTGATTTTGCCTTTCCGTAGATCCTTTATCCCCATTGTTTTCCAATTTGTGCACGATCCAAATTTGTTAGATCGTAGGTATGTCGTAGAATATTCTTTCTTTGAAGCATATTTCCACTGAGAATTCTTTCCCCGTTTACGCATGTAAAACAGGTTTTCTTTCGAAACAAACTACAACACAGAGACGTGTTCATCTGCTGTCTGTTCAGCTTTTTTTTCTTCTTTTCCATCTCCACATATCCGTGACCTAAACAGTACAAGGTTGAAAAAATCCCCCAACCTTACGATTTTTGGATCATGGACTTCATGAATGCTTTTTTCTCGGCCATTTTGATTTCTGTATCGCAGTTTTCCTCAAAATGTTCCTAAATCGAGGCCAGTTTTAATGCGAATACGGCTTAAGTGTAGAGGATAATGCGCACTCCCAATATTAATGAATAAGCAATATAACTTCAGGCAAAAGTGAACCTGACACAACAGTTTTAGGGTCTAAAATTGTCATATATTCTAAAAATATGTCGTGCCTCATCATTCCCTTTTTTAAAAATCGAGCGTGTTTTTCCAATTCCGGAATAATTTCTCCAATGGTTGGCTTGCATTGAAACTTATGCATTCTCCATCAGTGCCGTACTTCAAACATTTTTCAGCAGTTTTAATCCGCTAAAATTGCTAATCAAGATTTGTGTGTGTGTGTGTATGTTTCGTCGAAATTTCTTTCAACTCGTGAGCATGTCACCTTCAAAGAGCCATTGATTGATTAATCTGTGTAAAGTATAGGGACCATTTCATTTCAAGAAACTGCGAATCGATATCTGAACTCTACTGTCTTCAAAAGATACTGTTAATTTTTTTATTGCTCATAAATTTGATAAAGGAATAAAAAATGGTGTGCTGAAAACTTCAGATCGGACTGTAAATTTTCTCTGCAAAAGTGTTGCATGGCTGGCAGATCGCAAGTACTTTTAAGGCCTTTTTTATGTGATCCAATATTTGTACCAAACCATTCAATATAAAACCCGCAATAAAAAAATAATTTAAATACGCGTGCTGCAGGACATATAAAAAAATGAACCTCAAATTTAACGATACAACTGGTCATATGCTCGGAATATAATTTAATCATCTTTGATTTGACGTGCTTTGCTGTAAGATAATCGATCATTCCAACTGGTCAGGCGGGATATTCAACTTCTTTGAAACTGTTACTTTGAAAGTTGATCTCCCCAAAAATAGTAATCCTCTGTCTATAACATGGCGAGGAAAGAAAAAAACAATCAACTCGACGCGTCACAGTTTAACCAAGTACAACTCCTGTCACAGGAATTCTCTTCTTTTAAGCAAAAAAAATAGTGAAGATGCCAGCTATGAGTATTCGGAAGTCTGTGTGGCATTGTTCATCTGTGAACTTAAGTTGTCGTCGTCGTCACGGCTTGATGCTCATATACAGACGAGTTCTGCTTCTCCGTAATAATATGCACGCGTGCCACTTCTCTCTCTCTCTCTCTCTCTCTCTCTCTCTCTCTCTCTCTCTCATCTCATTAATGCGCAACTCATCGTCGCATCGTTGCTGTTGTTCTATTTTTTCAATTCATTGTACGTTCTATTTTTAATTTTGTTTTTAATATTTTTTTCATTTGTTTCCCTGTATACCCGAAACTTGTCTAACTTTCCGGTTCACGGGGAATAAGCGTGCTTTCCTGAGCACACCATCCATACGTGGGTCGGATATTCGCGCACATATTCGCAGGCGGAAGGAATGCGCAGGTTAATGCGTGCTGCGCCTTCGATTTCGCGAAAGTGAAATTGCGTGGGTGGGGGGAACACAAAAAGAGAGAACATTTTATTTTTTTCTGGGTGTCGATTGTTTGTGTCGCGTGTGACACAGGGACGCTTCCTGTCGGTATTGGGGACAAATTTGACGACTCCTTGGTGGCATAAGGGGCATATAGGAGTCTTATATATTGCTGCTGGTCGCCGGAAAGATGTTGCTCGCCACGTGGATCAAAATGATCATCGAATTCCGTGAGTGTGAAGTGCTTTATTCTTCGACGAGTCGTTTATTCTTATTTGTATTTTAGCTTTTTTTTTTAAATGAATGGGTGATCGAAAAGTGTGTCATTCGATTTCAGCTAGGAAATATTCATTCGCAGAAGGGTATCGGAAATATGTGCGATCAACCTCGTTAATTTTAAATATCGAATAGTTTTGACGACTAATCGTAAATTTGTGTTCCGCATTTTAAAAATAAATCTAAAACGACCGATCTCATCTTATCGTGGGTCGTCAACCAAAAAGCCCGACTTCGTACGAAGGAAAATGAAGCCGCTGAATTTAAAATTATGTGGGTAACTCAATTTTGCCTCGATGTATTATTGAAATTTAGCTCAATTGAAATTTCCGTATTATTCAATTTCTACCGGACAGCAAGCAGGATTACAAGGGTACAAACATAAAATTGTGAGCCCAAAGCCAAATAAATTTCAAAAATTCTCGAACCTTTCATGGAAATGTAAAATGTTTTAATTCTGAAGTTATTACCGGACCTAATTTGAGAAAAAATAGGTTCCGGAGTTAATAAGGTCACTTTTGAACCTATTTTTTTACGTAACGAAATCGTCGTAAGAACCTTAAAATCATTTGAAGGTGCAACTGCTCACTGTTCAATGGATAATAGTTTGAAGTACAACTGTACAATATGCATTCGATTGGTTACAATTTTCTTGCAAGGAAAAAATAAGCCTTGAAAATGTGCCGAATTATGGCCTTTTTTCTTATCCCCCGATCGATTGTCGGGAAATTTCTCTTATGTGCTGACCAATCGTTGTTTTCCAGCGAGGGTGAATCCATTTTGTTCGAAGGAATCTGTTGCTGCTTTTCTTGAGAGGCTGTTACCTTCATCTCTTGTCGGAAAAAGTAGGAGAATCATGCTCGTCCCTCTAAGTCTAAGTGAATTTACTGTATCTGAATTTTGAAGTACTTTCAAACAGCTTTTGACGTACACATACGATGAATACTTCATAATTTGTGTCAGTCATGACTCATGAGTCTTTTTCATCATCACGCGTTGAGAAGTGCGTAATTTTTTAAGACTAAAATACTCCGCCATTCATTTGTCTTGACCAATATATTGCTGACCGAAAATGAATCCGAGAATAATGTAACAAAATTAAAGTTTAGTTCTAAAATTTAGGAAAAAAAGGTTCACCTGCCACATTTGCGTGTTCGAGGAATTAGCGGTAAGTTTCAAGCGTTTTAAACATCAAATTTCAACTAATTTTGAATATATTAGTCTCAGCGTCTCAAATGTGAGAACACTATGTTCCTACGAAAAATTTTATTTCGGACAATCTATGTCTTTCCGAATTTGAAGTCAACCTGCATTTGAGAAGAATACTGAATTTGAAGCTGTAATTGAAGGAAATCCTTGAAAAAACGAATGCCAGTATACGCTTCTAAAAGTCTTGTTATTGATTTAATTAATTTTTATGATTGATCTCTAAATATTTAGTAGGATTGTGACTCGCAGTTTTGTGCCATGAGTGGGACTTCCCCTGAATTAAACAGATGGATGATTAATAATCCGAATAAATTACCGTACCCTAGTTAAAGGAAATTTCAATTAATTTTTACAATTTATAAATCAAGGATTTTTAAAACGGTATATTAGTCTATTTTGTCCACGAATAATTATTGTTAAAAGCATTACATTTTCGAAGCAGAGTCGCGGATTAAGGGGAATAAATGTGGTGTCCACAGAATGCTGTAAAAATAACTTCGTCAGTGGCATGTGTTCAGCAATTTTTGCACATTTTTAGTCATTTTATTTATTTTTTAATGGATGTTTCAGAGGTTCTTATGTGGGACAGACTGAGTGACAAGAACAGAGCATCGAATTCGAGCTCGTCGACAGCATCTGAAGACCGGAAGGTTCGAGGTGACCCATCATCAGTGCTCACCTATTTTCCTTTCGTGAACAATGATGCATCGAAAGTCAGCTGGGCTCATCGAGTCAACAACCGACAGTTGTTGAAGCAGTCTCTCGCTGATGGTGAATTGAACGACTTTTTTGTTTGTTTGCTTTCAATTTATAAGTCGAGCATGTTCTTTCAATAATAGACTTCAACTTGATTCAACTAACTTGAAATTCTTGGTTGCGTTCGCCTATACGTGTTCTAACATTTGAATGCGTCAAAAGCTGGTCCTAAATTTTCGACTTATTATAGTTACTGATTTGGCTTGAATTTTAGCACACGAATGGACACAGTCTGAACAGTAATGAAATCCACATCTATATATAGGGACCTCCCCACAATGAATTTGATGAAATACGGATTTCAATGACATTTAAATGCGCAGAAACGAAAACTCATTAAAAATCTTTTTTGCATATGTATGTGCAGAAAATATTCTGATGCTGGAAGCGGATGTTTTGCGGGGTCGGTTGAAAAATTCGGCGGATACCAGCGAGGTGGCCATCATGGCTCATCCACCAGACAGGGAGTCGGACTTGACGTTTGACGACTTCATCGACAATGTGATCCAGGCGAAAGCTGGCAAGGGTGTCAAACTGGACTTCAAGGACTTCTCAGTCGTCGAGGAATGCTTGAAAAAGCTGCAAAAGCGTTCCGACGAGGTCAGCGCCCTTATTTCTTGAGGAACACGCACGCGGCTTTCCCATATAGCTAATCTAAGCGAGGTCAAGCAAAAAAACAAGCTAACAACAAACAAATTCGTTTTCGTGGTCAAAACCCGTATTTATGGCATTCGTTCCTTTATGGGAACAGTAAAATACAAATCTGAAATGAGGAATTGTCACAAAAAATGTGTTTGAAGGTATGTATTTACACAGTAACTATAATATAGACCAGTGTTCCCCAACCTTTTTGAGACCAGAGACCAGCAAATTTCCTCATATAATTTGTTGGACAGGCAGATTTTGCAAAAATTTTTTGAGGACCAGAAAGTTTCATAAAATTTTTGCAAACCCAAAAAAGTTTTGCTTGAAAGACTTCATGGCAGGTATTGAAAAAGTTTCAGTTTTTTTGCAAAAATTAGCAAATAAAGCAGCTATAGTGGAATGCCTTCAAAAAATAAGAAAGGCGGACTTGAAGAAAGGTTTCTCATGATGAAAAAATTGAATTACATTTTTTTCAGGAGGTGAAAATTGTCTGAAGCGTTATTCACAAAAAGTCAACTTTTATTTTTCATAAGATAATTTCAACTGCTTCTGTCTTTCCAAATTTTCAGATGAAGATAACAGACTTTATATTTGAAAAATTTATGGCCAACCGGCGAAAAACTTTGGTTTACAAGCGCCAGTCCATTGACCACAAGTTGGGGAACACTGATACAGCCTATTATAGGAAATTCATACTCATTTAAAATGTAGACAAAAATACCACAAATTTGGAGTATGAACGTTGTATTTTCTTCTATTTGCTGATGGGAGAAGCCCTATTTTCAATTTTAATTCCTCTTTGATTTCAGTTATCCCATTTCACTCTTTGGACATTCAAAAATGTGAACAGGAATCATAAGATAATTAGATATACTGTAGTATATTTATATCAGATGTTCCATCTCTTTCAATTTGCCAAAGAATGAAAACTTATTTGACTCGGGAAGAACTTTCTAACTTCCTTCGGTCATTCGTAGAACAGTAATTTATAAATATAAATGTGAACATGATAAATTATTTACTAAAATTTCAGGAAAGTGATTGAAGAATCGCAAACTCCCATAGGACAGGTCTTAGCTTTTGCATGCCTAACTATACGCAAAAATCGAAAAAACAATGTACGATGAAATTATTAAAGAGTTTCTTTAAATCGCTGGTTTCTATGCGTAGCTGAAGTTCCCGATATTGCTGAACGCGGACATTATCGCGGGTCCCCTCAAGGCAAAGAAAACTCCGATTGACGCGGACGCGTTTCTCAGTACCTGCAAGACGTACTTCCCGGAGGCCACGTTGTCTGTGGGCTGGACGATCGACGTCCCGAAGCTGTACCTGGGCGGTGGGGCATATCGCATGGACCACTTGGACCAAATGCTTGCGGCGCTCGAGCGCAACAACATTACGCAACCCGTCACATTTCCCGTATTCGGCCTTTTTGCACACAATTCTGTGAAGGCCTTGGGCTGGCTCTTGGACCGCGTGGCCGGCAGCTCTTTGACCATCTGGGGCGGAAAGATGGACGCGCCGTATCACAATCGGAAGGCGCTGGCGCGCATGCGTGACGAACTTGGGCGCGACCGAGTCTTCTTCGACTTGCCGTATAATCTACCCAAGTGACTCACGTGTGCTGACGCTGCTGCGGGCTTCCCGAAAGCTGGCATTAATTTCCGTGCTCTCCATAGCGTTTTCTGAACTCGTTCATCTCTCTCACTGGGTGGAAATAATTAAGCTCTATGCGCGACAATTACAGGTTTCCTTTTCCGTTGATCGTGAACGGTTCCGTATGTGCTCCGCTTATGGCAGTTTCTTTGAATCACCTGTGTATTTCGTGTTAGATCCTGACTTGATCGTCACTGTGGTGTGCTTGGAAACGAATTCGGTTCCAACAAATCGGGGCATTAGCATTTGTTGCGCTATATTTTGAAATCGAATTTCCCCCGTTTGGTCGAGAGTTCAGCTTGATTGGCGGTACTGATCGGTCTTGGATAATGTCTTGGATAATGTCTTGGTTGTATTACATTCAATTGAAGTTATGATTTGTTGAAAGCTTGAAACCTTTAGGGAAAAATTGCAGGCGAAACCTTTTTCGGAAGCGGCATTTGAAAAAGACTTTCTTTTAATGTTGGAGCATCTATTCTAGTTCTCTTTATTCAACTTGATACATTTTTCAATGATCCGTCTCGTCCGCCGCGAAATGATTTTAAGTTCATTAACCGAAACCTGCCGGTGATAGTCGATTAGACTCTTTTTAGGTGCGTCTGCGTTTCTTACAGTAAGTTTATGCTGATGGATCAAAACGTATTACGCGGCTTCTTTTTTTTTTTTTTCATCACCCTCATTGAAAAGTTAATTTTGTTTGTTTGTTGGATACATCACTACATCAGTCACGAAGAAATAAAAGAATCAGCTTTGGATTGTGATTTGAAAAGTTTTTTTTTGGCGGGTAATCACCCCGTTTTCAACGCCTGCTTTTCTCGCGGCCTTCGTATAATCGACACGCATCGGTTTTCATCTATAGTGCTGAAACATCTCTAACATGTTGCCATTAAATTTTAATTATGTGGGTATTTTTTGTACATGTTGCGAAAGCGGGAATCGTCCTGAAATGTAAACTGAGCGATATATAGCATGATTCGAATGAGCACTGCAAATTAAAATAAAATGAAACTCTTTAGCAAATGCGGCTACCTTGAAAGCTCGGCAATTTACTGTTCGGTTATGATTATTACTGTTAATGCAGAAGGAGTATTCAGCAAAAGCTTTCAAAAATCGACTTCATCAATATGATATCTGTTTTTTTGAGGTTTTTATAGCGTATATATCTGTGACGTAAACTAGATTCGAAATAATTTAGAACCCTTCGATTTAGTAAGGTTGATCAAGTCACTAGAAATACAACTGTGTTTCAAGCTGTCATAGAAGCTCAAATCAGAATGTGTGAACTGTATAGAAAGATGGACTTTCTGTGGAACGAATGGAACTCTTGAACTCATATACCCGAACTACTGAAATCAATTTTCACAGTATTCACGCGAGAGAAACGCTGAAGAATTTCATTCATTCTAGATATTGTACATGCAGATGTTCACTCGGTTTGCAGATTTTTTTCTTTTAGATATCTTCGTTTCAAACATGCTTAGTAGCGTTGTCAGCAGTCGGAGGAACATTCAGCACATGTTCATCAGGTTCAGTTGTAATTTCATCAACAGCATTCAGCGACTCTCCGAAAATCTCTTCAGGTTCGCTGTTCGGATTATTTTGCATACCATGATTCAAATCTTGAATGATCCGACGTTCGTCTCCAGCGTCAAATCGACTCGGGATCCCAGTAGTGTCGCCCGACGGCGAAAAGATCCCTTCATCTTCCACATTCGAACCCTTCCCATCTCCGTCCACTCCCTTGGCAAACAATTGCAGCAACACCGGCAAAAACAAAAGCCCGTGCAAACATCCAATCACCATTACGAGAAAAACTGTCTTGAAAAACACGCGGAACATTTGCGAAGGCATGAATGCGAGTGCCGCGATGCCGACGAGTGTGGACGCGGCGCCTTTGAAGACGGGACCGCCCATTTTGTGCAAAGCATCTGCGGTTCGTTCCGTCGCACCTTTGCTTTGCGAAGTGACGTATGCGTAGGACACGTGGGCTGAAAAGTCGACGGAAAACCCGATGCACATGATGATGGTGATCATGGAGATGACGTCGAGAGGGACGCCCCAGAGTGCCATGTAACCGACGACGCCCGCTTCGATGGACGCGATGGACACGGCAACCCAAAGGGCGGCCATCAAGTCCGGGATGAGCAGGAAAAAAAGCACCATCATAACCGCTGCTGCAGAACCGATCGAGGCAATTGTCGACAAGCGAATTGCGTCAAACTGCAACGAAAAGTCGGATTACTTGCAACCAAAATGAAGTACTGTACAAAAATTACCCTCGACACATTTTTTGTTGTTGCTCTCTCTTGCTTAGTTTACATCCAAAATCATGGGAAAAATTGTTATTTTTTAATTTTTTGTAAGAAATTATATGCACAAGCTTCGAATTTTCGTTCAAGAGCACGTCCCACTCTACGTCACCATGAAAATCTTTTGAAACAAAGACAAAAGTGATCTTTCAACTCCTGCCGATGAAGTAAAGATGAAAAAGAAAGAGGCTCCAAAGAACAAAGTCAACTACTCGTCACCAAAGTCAAGTTTCACTATCCTGTGCTGAGATGCAAAAACAGTCTTGGATAAGTACTCTGAAACATTTTCAAAATAGTTTCATTTCTCTGAGGGTTCATTAAGTCATGTGGAGCATACCGTACTGTCCTTTATCAAGTCAGTAACGGGTTTCGAGCACGAAGAAAAATAATTCATACAAATAAGTTACGGTATATTATTTTCCAGGACAATTAGTTCACATTGTTACGAATGTACAGTATATATATTTTTTTTGGGGAAAGCTTCTCAAGTGAACGTTCAACAAGTTGAGGTTCTGACTTCACGAATTTCGGGAAGCAGGGTGGTCCTATCTTGAACTTTCATGAGAGTGAAGAATGATTGAGCATGGTTTGTACGAAGAAAAGCGAGATGTGTGGGCTTTATAAATGTATTTTAGCATCTATCGAAAAATGAAGATACGAATCATGGATGTTTGAAAAATTACCGACCTGATCAAAGAATAAAAATTGGACGCTGAAAGGCAGAAATTCAAGGCCAGTTTTTTCGCTCATCTCTTTGCAAATCCGTCGGACTTCATTCATGACTTTGGCTCCGTGTGCTTGGTCTCGGATCTCGTTAGTCCTGAAGACAATCCTCAGTGCCACGATGTGATTCCTGAAGTTAGCCACATCCCAAATAGTTGGAATCGGCTTGTGTCTCACAAACTGAGAAATAATGGAGAAAAAATTGAATGGTTGGGATTTGACTCAGTATTCAGATTTTTGACTGATTCAAAGGAAAAAAATACATGTGGTGTCAATTTTCCTTTTTTTTAAATCTATATTGAAGGAGGAATGATCAGACCTTTACAGTTAAAATGTTGGCCATTTTATGTCTCCCAAAATATGTATGGTGCTCAAATTTTTAAACTGTGGATGGCAGAAAAAATTGGCCTTCATCTCCCGATCCATGAATCTATTAACACGTTTTTACCACGTTTTTATGAACTCACTTTCTTGTCTGTCTGTCTGTCTGTTTGTCCAGATCAAATTTTGAAACTCAAATTTCACTCAACAAATGAAATAGATGCGCACCCCGTTTAAGGTTATTTTTTTTTTTTTTTTAACGTGGTTTTTTAGATTAATTTTTTAATCTACTAAATTTTTTCAGGGTTGATTTTCTTTTTCAACTCCCAGAAAAAATTCAGTGCAACTCAAGAATCAAACAAAACCTGAGACAACAGTAGTTGAGGTATTCAGCATTCCGACATAAATTAAGATTTTGATGGAGAAGGAAGTTTGTCAAAATCGATTTTTAAAACCTTTAATTCTTGGACTGTAAGCGTTGAGTCATTTGCTGAAGATGGTGGTGTGAATCAGGAAAAAGAAACCAACGTACAATGTCGTCAATAAATTTTGAAATACATGGTTCTACTATTTTTTCATGGACTTCAGAAGAAAATCGGGACACTAGTTGAATTGGCGTGAATGATCAAACTGCAATCACTTGTACTCTTGAAGGAAAGGAAATTATACTCTGTTCAATAAGCTCACGTTGGTGAAATGAAGTCCGACGATGTCTTCGGGTAGTTCGAAAGCACCAGTCAACAGTTCAGAAATTCCTTCACAATATTGCTCGTCCATAGATTTCCGGAATGCTCGAAAGCTGTACTCAGTGCCCGAGGCATCGATGGAACCGAGGGATTCTAATTCGCTGGTCAGTTCGTCTATGGCTTTCATCCGTTTGCTTGCGATGAGGTTTTCAACATTCGCGTTTTCCTTGCCCGTCGCTGCTACCTTGAGAAAGCAGGAACGTATTTTTACGAATTCAGTAGTGTACTGAAATCAGGTGACATCTATTCTACTTATTCTCGAGCAAATCACCTTCAAAATGGACGAAGTGGAAAATCACATGATTCAAAAATCTCCTGCGAATATTTTTCAATAATTTTCCATATATAAACCTTTTTTTGTCCCATAGGGTTCTCTCCTCATGTTATAGAGTTCCTCTACAAAAAATATCTCTACCACTAATTTGTCTCTGGTCCCTAAAATTCATTTTGTACGGAGATTTCACCTGTATCATCAATTTTACTTGCCTGGGATTGTTCCAAAAAGCTAAAACCCAAATGCCAGTTGCCTCAATACGAAATTTTTTCAGCGTACATCAGAGTTAAATTTAGAAAGCTCTGACTGTATTCGATCGACCAAGATATTATTTTCAATTTCCTGTAATTATCTTGATCACTGAACATTTAATTTTTGCAATGGCACATTCTAAACTAATTCCACATTCCATGTTTAGAAAGAGGGTTACATTTGCTGGTCGAACCTAAAGTGTTTTTTTCAGGTTTCAATATTTTCAGCCAATCGTGAAGCAAAGGTGTAAGTGGTCAACAGGTAAGTTTTCATCTTAAGACCACCAATTTTTAAAATTGGAAAATGCATGACTCTTCCTCGGAACCATTTAATAATCTCCAGTTGAAGGACTCAACCTGGATATATATGGGCGACTGTCCAAAGAGGTGGTCCTCCTTGTCAAGGTATTTCCAGACGTGCGAATTATACTTCATGAGATCCTTAGTTTTCAGCCCTTCTTCCAAATTGAAGATTCCTGTCACCGCACCTGCGAGGTATGCTGCTGCCAGTACAGCTACAAGTCCCTTACGAGAAAAGAGGGGCGAAAGAGTGGATTAACAAGTGAAAATATAACGTACACTTTCGAAATATTTGCTTAGGAAAAGTTGAAAAAAAAAAAGGTTAACTTAGGAATAATTCGTGCAAGCGGAGACCGCAGCTTTAGCTTTCGTTACAGCGACACCTAGTCGTTGACAAAATATCTAATTGCTACAGTTTTTTTATTTTCATGCAAGGTCGCTGCTACCTTGACCCAACTAAGCGCCAACAGAGGGGCCCAGTGGTCACGGAAAAACGCTCCCAAAGGACTCTCCACCATGTTCAGTTCATTTTCCGGATCCGTCGGATCGATTCCTCCAACACAGCAACCTGAGGGGACAGGGTTAAGTAAGCGTACATGTGATAGACAACCTTTTTCTTTGCGCAGTAAAGTACTGTATTTTAATGGCTTCCTTTCGCCCAATAAACGATGGAACAATGCGTCGGACATCAAAGAAAAGTGGTGATCTGAGTTGTGTCTTGAATAATGGAATCTATTCACTCAGCTCACGTTAAAAATGTGAAGTACAGTATTCTATAATTCGGGAATGACTCGATTGAGATTTGAGACCGAAAATTGAAGCGTTCAGAAAGAGAGTGAGAGGTCTGCAATTTTCCTCAAACCTTCAGTTTGATGCTTTTGAGGATGAAGAAAAAAAATTTCGATCAAAGCCACCAATTCATGGAATTAAAAAAATAACAGTAGGGTTTCCCTGAATCTACAGTAAGTCGAAGGCATCTTTTCCCGAATTCTTCAAAATCAGAGAGAATAAGAATATCATTAAATTTTTATTTATTTAAAGAAAAATCCATTTTTTATTTCAAGTATTGCGTTAAATCTTGAATAAACCATTCAATGTTACTCTTGATCCCTCTGAAAGATCTTAGATTCATTTAGGTCTGTTAAAAAACCTACGTGAAGAAGAGGGGGGGGGGGGTTGTATGTCGTTGGACTGTTGTACCAATTTATTCTCCGAATAGGATATTCACTGTGTGGAACCAAAAATAAGCCTTGCAACTGAGAAATAAAATAATTTACCCGCAGGGTTTCGCGACCTCGGCTGAACCCGGACGCAGCAAAGAATGTTGTGCAAATTTCTTTGCTCACACCTGCCAGCCAGAGCCAAGATCGCCCCGAAAAATGTGACATGAAATGCAAAAGTCATGGCCACCGACGCAGCTGTCGAAGAAAGAAGAAAAAAAGACTTGAATAAATAACAGCGTGGTTTTGCAAAATGCTGAAATGATTTGCGATTAGCCGAGCAAAAAATAAAACATCGCTTTATTAACCACACACAAATTTAAAAGTTGAATCGAGATTCTAGAGAATTATTTATTCCAAGAGGGCCTATTACATTCATCGTTCATTTGTTTCACACAAAAAAGCTTCGCTTAAAAATTCACTACATGTCCAATGTACATTTGCGCATATGATTAATGGGTGTTTTATCTGCCAACACGTTTCAATCTTGGTATTTTTCTGATATCATCATCGGATTCCGATGCATCGGCAGCTCCGAAGAGCAAAATAAACCCGAAAAACACAAAAAATAGCAGAAACACAGCAAAGAAGGCATGGAAGGATAACGCCGAATCCTATTAACTAATTAAATCGATTATATGAGTACAGCGAGTATATAATACAAAAATATTCACGCTAGCGTATATTGTGCTACTTCCTCTGACTTCCTTCCGGCGATGTAGCCATATAAGAATAAATAATGTAAACAAGTTAGTTATATGCTAGTGATTTTATCATCGTCACTCAAAGTTTATCATGCAATAATTCTGTCACGCCAGGATTCCTTCAAAAAATGCAGTTAGCAAGGTAATGCATATGTGATCAACTTTACTTCTAATTCGGGGTTTGAAACTTTTAAATAACATCCCCTATTGCTCTCGAGGTTCATCAGGGGCTCGTTTTTCTCAGCGCCCATTGACCTAAAAACCAGCCAGGAACCATATATATATATATATATATATTTTTTTTTTTCAAAGAAAATAATCATGGTTTGCTCATGTGAAGACATGGCCCTCTGTAATGTTCGAGAATCTTTATACCCTGATGAGAATTAAGGTGGTGTCTATAATTTAACGTGCATTCGGCTGGCACAAAAGAATTACAAGAACGACGCGATCAACGAGACTTTGATTCACTGAAGACAATATTTGCACGCAAAACCTTTTCATATCTGCTTTACAGTTTACTTACCGGAATAAATGCAAAAGAAGCGAACAGCGGGAAACGGAGTGAATGCTCCCACCAGGTAACTGAGCAAATCCGTAAGTGACGTGATAGTGATGGACAGTCCAACGTCGGCATACACTTTCGACATTCTTTCAGCTACCGGCGAAGTCAAGCTAGTTCTTCCCCAGGAAGACAACATGACGTACGTGTCGTCCATTCCAATACCTGTTCAAAAATATTTTGAACATTTGGGAATTTTCTAGATGAATTTCACGGTTCAATTATGGCCCGGAAAAAACGGAAATGATTTCTCAATTGAGAAAAGCGATTTAAATTTTTTCGAGATCTATCTTATAATAGCAAGATCTGGCTTTGTGCGACTTTCCTATGTTTGGCGAAGTTCAAACATTGTTAAATCTTTAGATTGATTGATAAAAACTTCATTTTCTGCTGTTCAGCTTTCACAAGGTTAAAAAAATGTTCCCACATCCAAACCCCCTGCCCACCCCACTCACATACATTCCACTACATCAGGATGGAAAATAAAGAAATAAGCTATGCACAGGTACTGTATTAAAATAAAAACAAAATACACCACAATATGAACAAATGCACAACTGATGTAAATGCATACACGTTCTTTCCCTCTCCCCAGATAACAAAAAAAATATCAGTAATAAAAATTACAGCATAAGGCGATTACTGAACACAAATTAAAGTACAAGGTGTTCAGCCTCCTCTCCCAGATTTAAGTTATAGTTGATTAAACAAATTGGAGATAATCTTTGAGGAGAAACCATATACAGCTAACAGTTTATTTTGGACCTCCAAAGCTTTAGGGAAAATCTTTTCATCAAACTTCAAGAATCCCAAATCTTTTTGAAGCTCACTTCTGTAGCTGAGGAATATACTGGGCATAAGAAAAGGAGGCACTTTCAGAAGAGTGTAAAATGCTACTCAAAAATTTTGGAGGAGATCCATAAGCATCAGATATAATTTTTTCTGATCTCATCTTTTGTTTTAAATAGTGCCCTTGTTATGTTGGTGGTATACCTTGCAATTCAAACCTAATCCATTGCTGGACTACGGTCAAATAACACAGTGGTCAAATTGCAATACACCTTCAAATGACATGTTTTCTACATGGCATTTGACGTTTCATGCATGTCTCTCCACAGGTCAAATTGCGAGGCAGAAGTCAAATTGAGAGTCAACCTCCCAGCAAATTTGCCCATCAAATTGCGGGCTGGTCAAATTGCAGGATGAGGTCAAATTGCAAGGTACCACCTGTATACCCGGAAATATGGGTAATTTTGAAAAAAAAAAAAGCTTATATACCCAACATGAGAAACGGAGCAGCGAGGTTGACGTCAGTGAACAACACGCCGCAGTAGCGACACAGGCCAAACGCCGCGGCAGTGGCGCAGCAAGTGGACACCACACCACCAATGGCAACCATCGGCTTGGCTCTGACGCAATCCCGACCGCAATTGGTAACGATACTGAAAATAATCATGGCGAGGAATGTGGCTGCAATGTACGGGGCCAGGTCTTTGCTGTCTGTCCCAGCTTGGGTCAACAGGGAGCTGGAAGTGACATAGCTGACGTCTATGCGACTAAAGGTCGGCGTCAGGGACTCGCAGAGTCGCACGAATTTCCGCTCCCATTCCAGCATCCTAGTTGAAAATGGGAGGGTGAAATTGCATTAAATTTGACGCAGAACGTAACATTTTCATATTTACTCAAGTTGCATTTTTAAAAATGGTTTTTCAAAGTATTAGGTACGTGTGCCTTATTAATGGTTACAAAGTTTTCAACCAAATTTGATGGGTGTATTTTCCAAATATAAAAGTAAAGCTTGTGAACAGAAATAAAATAGATAAAGTTTGGTGCTAGTCTCGAATGAATGATCAATTCCATTGTTTTTTTTGTGGCTATTCAAAAAATAATAATTCGACTTAGAGCAAAGTAAATCTGCTATAATAAGTTGAAAAACTATTTCTACTTCTCTTAAAACACATTTTCAAATGATTTCCACAGACACAATGATGCCCAAAATATGAAAGAAATATTTAAGGAGAAGCTCTTGAATGTATACGCTCAGACCTCCACAAGTCAAAATTAGAGAGACCGAAACAACAATTTAGCTGAGGGATTTTTTGGGTATGATTGAATGAATGAACAGAACACTTTATTTGCCGATTTTTAGTATTTTTTTTTTGGTAGTAAAAAAGAATTTCTATGCTTGGAAATGCGAGGAAGTTATGGCGAGGATGAGGTAAAATTGATGAATTTTACTTTCCAATTTTACCTTTAACAATTACTGGAAGTAAAAATTGGTCTGAAACTGCTGGGTAAATGAACTGGCAGGATGCTGAACTTGGAGACAAGGATAAATTTGCCAAATTAGCCACTCACTTCCTTTGAGATCATCAAGTTATATTTTTAAGACTTTTCCATCTCTTGGATCACCTGATCAATGACCCTTGGTCTAAATAAATTTGAGTTTAAAAGAATGTATGGGGGTCTTTTGGTTAGGCAGGAGTAAATTACAGTACCTTGTTTTCAAAGGAAAATGTTTTCAAAGTTTTGATTTTTCCTGATTTGTTTCAACTTTCTGCAGAAAAAATTTCGCCGAAGAAAATTGTATAGCTTGGTGAAATTTTTTCCAGCATTCCTGCTATAGGATGAGTTTTGCGGGGCTCAAATAACTACAGCTTAAACTTTCCTGGATTTTTCCAGACTTCGGCTATACCCAGCCAAGGCTGCATTTTGGCGACCTTTTGTCAAGCCAAAACGGCAAGGCCGGCAAAAAAATCCCAACTCTGCCACTCATCAGTGGAAATCAACCTACCACACCATCCAAATATAAGGTTGAAAATGTCTAGTGAGAAATTCCTGCAAAAACTATCCCAGCACTGCTGCCAACTAAAGTTCGAGGTCTCCACTGTATAACATCCACTTCATGCTTACATCAGAGGCTATAATGATGAACACGTGGTTACCAACCGCGGGTCGTCCAGTCCAACGTAATAGGCCAACTTGATGGCCCTGGCCCTGGTGACAACCCGCAGCCGTTGCCCAGACTCTGTCCGCACATTGTCCAAGTCCAGCCCTCCGAGTGTGGCCGTGAAATCAATGTCTATTGTCCGCCTGAGTTGCCTGCGCCGCGCGTGGTACGCGTAGAACGGACCCAACTTCATCGTCATCTGGGCCTTGTCCTGCGGGCTACCTTTGCTGGTGTCATCAGTCGGTGCCCTGGACTCGACTGGAACATCGTGAAGGGTGTAAGTGGGGTAGGTCAGTGCAATTTTGCCGGTCTCCACGTCCCCGATGACCGGGTAGAGAGCCAGGATGCCGCCATTGTCGTGGCACCCGGTGGTGACTGCACCAAAGCAGATTTTCTGGAATACAGTTGAATCTGATGACTGAAAAAACTCATTTGAAATTAAAAAAAAAATTTAATGGCCAGATATATGAATGCTGTGCTTTGAGACTCAAATAAAATCGCGGGTGTTTTGCAGGATATTGAAAAATAATTTGTCGTGATGACAAGAATGTGTTGTAACGACAATTTAGAGTCAAATGAAAATGAAGTTTTTTAGGAATTGAATCCAAACTGTCACAGGACAATGAGCTGCTCCACCCGTAGCAGATTTTCTGCGATGAAGTTTAAGCTCATGACAAAAAGTAAAGAACTACGGGGACTTTTAACATATTTGTCTTGAAAACAACGCTGTTTTCCGAAACTCAACTAACATCGCGTATGTTTGCAAGATTAAATGTAAAAAAAAATTCCATGGCCAGATATATGAATGCTGTGCTTTGAGACTCAAATAAAATCGCGGGTGTTTTGCAGGATATTGAAAAATAATTTGTTGTAATGACAAGCATGTGTTGTAACGACGATTTAGAGTCAAATGAAAATAAAGTTTCTTAGAAAGTGACCCGAAACTTTCACAAGAAAATGAGCTGTTCCACCCGTAGCAGATTTTCTGCGATGAAGTTTAATCGCATGACAAAAAATAAAGAACTACGAAGAACTTTTAAAATATTTGTCTTGAAAAAAAACGCTGTTTTCCGAAACTCAACCAACATCGCGTATGTTTGGCACGATTAAAAAAAATAACCTTGTGGAGACAAAAATGTACTGTAAATTTGTAACGATATTTAAAGTAAAATGAAAGTTAATATATTTTATTCCCGAATTATTGTCACAGGAAAGCGGGCTGCTCCACGCAAAGCATAATATTTTCTGGAATACAGTTTTACCTGATCATGATAAAAAAAAACTCAAGGTGGGAATTTCAAAATACTGTATTTATTTTGAAAAAAGCGCTATTAAAAAAAACTCAAAAAAACATCGCGGATGTTTTGTGGGATCTCGAAAAATAATTCGGTCTGACAAAATGTGTTGTAACGATATTTTTTACAGTGATAATTAATGAAGTTTGTAAGGTTTGATCTTCAAACTGTCACAGGAAAATGAACTGCTCCACGCAATAAAAAAAAAGATTTCCTGGGAGGGAATTGAATTTTATTACAACGTAGGCCATTGGAAACTTTGAAGTCATTAGTATACAATCTTATATTTTGAGACTCAAATAACATCATGAATGTCTTGCAGGATCTTGAAAAACCATTTGCAGCAACGAGGCTTTACGGTAATTTTAAAGAGGGGTTCTGGTGAATTATTTTGTGAGTCGATCATAACGCACGCGCTTGAATTTCCCAGCGTTGCAAAAATCTCAAAAATTATTAGGAAGTGAGCAATGAAAGTTCTGCTGTGCTTTCAATTTGTAATATACTGTAATACGCATCGCATAATGAAATGAAATCCTTATTTTTACATGCAGTATTTCATATGGAATGCGAGGGAGTCTAAGGACTCCTGAGGATGAATTTGAAGAGATTTTACCTGAATCGCAAAAATTTCTCAAGTAGACAAGTGAAATCCTTTCACCTCGTAGCTTTTGCTCCAGCTGCGTTTTCTTTTGACCTCATCATCACTGACTCTTCCACGTTTTTCGTCAAAACTCCACGTCATTTCCATGGCAGTTATGGAGGAATGCAAGCTCATGATTTCGTCCCACAATTCCTTGCGCAGAATTGTTCCCCCGTCTTTCGCCGTTATGATCACCTTAATTTCAGAAGAAAATTCAGCAATACAAAGGGAGATCGTGATACCGCAAATTGTTCAACTTGCCAAATTTAACAAAAACGTATTCGCTAAAATTTCCGCAGTGATACACAGACTGGGATATTATTGTATCCACTGAGGTTTCATCCCTCACAAGTTATACGAACAAAAACGACGAATTAAAGTTCAATTAAGAGACGAGACATATTTCTGCCAAATAAGCATACATTCTTTTAAATCTTTCTGGGATTTATAGAACGGCACTTGTACACGAGAGGTGACCCACCGAAAAATCCGCGCGCGTCATGCAAACGTGACATCTACCGGCAAAATGAATCTCCTATAGTTTAAACCCTCTTCTCCAGCAACACTGGCCAGACTCCCATATACAGTACTGTACTCCTCTGCATTACGACGCGAGTTCATAATCACGACAAATTATGAGCAACTTTTCATCCATTCCTTGGCATTCTGCAGAAACTGACTTTCAAGGCGGTTAGGTAAAGTTAGGTTAGGTTAGGTTAGTTTATGTTAGTTAAAAATATCTTTCAACTATCATAAACTAACCTAACCTAACTTTACCTAACCGCCTCCAAAGTCAGTTTCTGCAGAATGGCAAGGAATTCGTCGTGATTATGAACTCGCGTCATAACGCAGAGGAGTACAGAACTGTATATGGGAGCCTGGCCAGTGTTGCTGGAGAGTTTCATTGTTCAATGTTCCGTTCATAGATGGCGAGAGTGTTGAAAGTCATGGCGGCGCGCATGGATTTTTCGGTGGGTCACCTCTTGTGTACAAGTGCCGAATTTACTGCGCCCGCGTAGACCAATCATTTGAGCAATTAGCACAAAAATATGAAATAATACATAACTCTCGAAAAGAAATATAGACAGCATAAATTACTCTTAGGTGCTGGGGTCTATAATAAGCAGTTTTAAAGAATTTTATCTACAAACAATAAAATCAGGGTTGAAAATAATACAAAAATTTACGAGCATAGAATATAAGGTCCTCCGCGGTTCCGATTGGATGAAAAACGAGTCCGAGTGCGTGTATCTAATGAGAGTATTAATTGTGCAATGAGTGGCAATTACTCCACTTTCGCGTTCCCGAAATTTTGATTCAAGACCTAATACAAAATACACAGGTGTTTAAATTTAAATTATTCCGAATGCATCTTTCGCTCGCAGCACGAATGATTGAGCTAACGCGTTCAATCAATGCATAAATCAATCAATCAATCAATCAATCAGTCCACCTTCCCGTGCCTCGCACCGCGAACCAGTCGTTTCTCGGAGAAAAAGAACGGGTCCCAAAAAAGCCGGCCCATCGTGTACTGCTCCATAATTGAAATGCGCGAAGAAGGGGTGAACAGAAACTCGTAGTCTTCGATTTTCGCGATGCCCCTGAGCCCCGTGGCGAGGCCAGCAAACACAGCCAGTGGCAAGGCGATGAACACCCACGGATACCTGCCCACTGCACTGCCCAACAACTCGAAAAGCTTCGTCAAGAATTTCGGTATAACCTTCATTATTCTTCTCAGCACGGAATTTCGGTGATATGACAACGAGGAAAGTATAGGGGAAAAAATAATAATTGAGGACGACGAGACGCGTCGGAAACCGGAAATCCGCCGCCTTGGGTGCAAAGTTTTTTTTTTCCCCCAAGAAGATCAGTTGAGGAAGAGAAGGAAAATTTCGGAAAATAATCCGAGCTTTCGCTTCATATCCTTATTACCCCATATTCCTTCTCTTTTGTTAACTACAGTCGAATCTATCCAAGTCAAATTTTAAGAAGGGGCCAGGGAAAATCAAACTTAGAGAGGTTTCAAGTTAACCCTTCCCTGGCATTGGGTTTTTTTTCTCAATGAAGGACTTAGTCAGGATTTTATTGTTTCAGCCCACAGGTGTAAATTTAGTTGAAGGCCGTGAAAGTCAAGTCAGGTGAAGTAAGGCAAAGTAGGACTTAGTCTGGGAAAATTTTTTTTTGATTTCCTGAAGTCAGACTTTTTCTGCTAATCTTTTGTGGCCCCTAAATGGGAGCCCTTTCTGGCACCCAAAATGACAGTGCCAAGAGGTTGAAAATAATGAAACTAATCATGGGATGGAATAAAGAAGCTTAGCCTTGGAAATGATTTTTTTTTATTTTTGGGCAAAAATCTTATGTGGTTTTTAAAATATATGCCAGTATTTTTCCTGACTTTGCCCTGGATGTGCTGTTCTCTTTTTTTTGGCAGCTTGTCTTACCGACACCAAAGTTTGCAGTAAAATTGTGACTTTGCCACCCAATGGTTAAGGAAACAAGTATTTTTGTTGTAAGAAAAAAATTTAAATGGTGATATTTTGGGCCTTAAATTGCCTGCTTCTTGTTTTAATTAGCTATAACTTCAAACAGTCCAGAAAGTCACCATGCAGGAATCAACCATTGATTTAAAATACAGTACTACTGTATAAGTATATTGCATCCAATAACAGGCAGAATTTTAAAATGCCCCTGTTCATACATTCGAATTTAAATGCAAAAACATAGGATCCAATACCCCGCAAACATTATGATGTGCATCCCGCAAGGCGATGAATATGCTTCAGTTGAAAAAAAAAAGTATCACGCAGATCAATCGTCAGACGTACTCATCAGAAAGCAACCCGGAATTCCCCACACACACACGGGAAACGAGGTCAAGCCGATAGGCAAATTTCTCAGGGCACTGCCGCGAACCACGCTTTTCTTCACTTCTGCACAGGGCACACAAAACGCAACCCTGCAACCCAAAAGCGTGGATCGTGTAAATTGTTTCTCAGTTGAGCTGTAGGTACCCTATATAGCAAGTCGGTGGGTTCCGTGTGACACGAGCCAATAACTGCTGGATCAAAGGCCTGTGTAAGGTTTTCACGAGAAAAAAAAATGAATTCAAAATGTTCTCGAACAACGCTTCAAAAATATATTATCCTGTTGCAAAATTGTGTGTGAAACATGCGACGACGCGATTAAAATCAGACCTTGCTGGTGTCTATAACGTGGCAATTGTGCTGTGACATAGGATTCAGAGTTACAAATACGAAATATATATATATATATTTTTTTGCAAGAGATATTTAAAAATCTTGTCTCGAGGTATTCGAAGCCAAAATAATCAAAAAATACTTTACACCACAAATAAAGCAATTTCTTATCATCATGTCATGTTTCTTGAAATCAAGCTATATTGAGGCAAACGATGAGTGAAGTATGCGGGGATTTACAATTTTAAAAACTCAATGTAGTTTACGCCATTTTTCTCGATTCGCCACGTTCTAAAAATTCCCCAACAAAAAATGATAAAATATATTAAATTAGAACGTTCACCAGATTTTAAATACCTGTAATAGCAAAATGTCACGCGCTTACGAAACGCGAAAATCATTGTTCCAAATCACGTGTAACCATTTTGTTAGCCTCATTTTCTTTATAATTTTGTTCAAAGAGTTTCATGGCTTTTGTGTAAGGCTGCTTGACCAGGTTTAGTCAAGACAGTTGCAATAAATCGAGAAATGCGAATGTTACCAAACGTAAAATATAATACAATCCCAAGGGAATGTGGCCGCCTTCACAGCCGCCGCATTCCCATCCCGATTGGCGGCTGCGAAGGAGGCTGTTAATTAAAATGGCGGAATTAACTCAGAAGACCTGAGTAGAGGCAACCCTTGGAATTGATGCCATGTTGATTTCAAAAATTCTGAGAGGAAAGCTGGGCTGCAACAACAAAATGTACAGGAAGGGCGCCTCATCTTTTGAGAGGAGAGCGGAACTCTGCCAGGGTGACTTTTGCAAAACATTCAAAAAAATATATATATGTTTGTCAAACAGGCCTGATTTTTTGTGCCAAAGAATATATTTTCCTTGAAGAATAATTGTTTTATTTTGCCTCAATTAAATGCCATTTCAATTTCAATTCCGAGGACTTTTGTTAGACCCTCGTACAATATTCAAGCTCCAATTCCTATTTCTAAAATTTTGTAAAATTAAAAAATTAACACACTGAAAAAAGAGTATGTTTCCATAGAAATACTCGTAACTTTAGAGGTCACGGTTTATCTCTGTCTCGTGTAGTCATTTTATTTTGTTTGCCAATCTGTCACCGTATTCCGGAAACTTCGGTTGAAAGAAATTCCGAATCCAGGCGGAATTATTATTTTTTATGTTTGTAGTATGCAAATTCAGACTGACTCCAGCTGTTATAGGGGGTTTTGCAAAAGGGGGGCACGTTGCTATCACACTTGCCATCACAACGCTGATCCCCCCTGACGACCCCGACGCACGAGTCCCCGATTAGCACGCAAATCGCGTGGATAATCCAGATAAGGTGGGAAAAGTGCAAGTGCGACTCCAACGACCTTTTCGGAAGACGGCGGAATGAGCTCGTGCCAAAAAGTGCTCTCTCCCTTTTTCCCCCGTGAGTCAGAGGTACGTGTGTTGTCGTTGTTGAATGAGTACTGCTGTAGTGTACCTGCAGGCATATATGGGGTTCTGCTGACGGTTTTATGTCAGTTCTAGAAACTTCCGGTTTATTAGAGAAAATGGACAGAGAAAAAGCTTACTTTAATAGGTGCAACGTTTAAAAAAAATCGATACTTTTTCGATGCCGGCTTTAAAACTTCATTTTAAGCACGATAAAATTAACTTGGCTACTGAGCTTAATTTTACTTCTTTTGTCTCTAATCTAAAGCAACTAGTTTGAACATTTCAAGCCGAAAACTGAGCAATGAACGGTGAAACTACCCAAAACGAACTCTAGCCATGCTTAAGCAAAGATTTTGGGGTACGCCTTTTTAATGCTTGCTCTCTTGTTTCCAGTCAGAAACGTAATTCCAAGACAAAATGGATTTCACTGAAAAAAGAAACGAAATATATCCAGCAAAATGTTCAGCCGAACAGTGAAATTATATTTTCAATTGATAGATTAAAAAGTTCGATCCATCCCGAGAATCAGATTTAATGTATTCTTTGAAAAATTTATCAAACGCTTAATTACAAAAACATTCGAAGAATAATCATCGATAATCTTCTTTTAGAGATAGGGATTTTTAAATGAACAACGTAAATATTTTAAACAGCATTAAACATTGAGAAAACGACCATGAAGGCGTTTCATGATTTTTTAAAGGCGAAGTAAGTAGAAGAACGTGGGACTCTGATTCCTGTAATTTTCTTATGAATACATAAAAAAATTATGAAGAAGAAAACCCGAAGGTCGCCTTGTGACAAATTAATGAGTTTCGATTTTCTGCCCTTTTCGATCCCTGCATTTTCCGCTGTCCATATAATATATTGAAGTGTCCCGAAAGTTATAAACGTTCTTTTCCTAAATGCCTTTTATTTAAAGCGGGTGATCTTCAGTATTTTGAAGAAAAGAAAAAGATATCCGAAAAAATTACGCAAAGGCAATCTTGAGAAAGGTTTTTTCCTCTAGTTCTCAAGTACGAAAATCTGATGATAAATTGGGAAAATTCACGTGCGATATTCAGTATTGTAAATTTTTGAAGTACAGTACTGTACATGGGCAAGACTACTTTTGAACGTCGCCAAAAATCTAAAAATAACCAAGAGAATATTTTAACAGGAATAGCGACAAATTTTATAACGCATAATCGGTTCGTCGTCAAATATTTCCGATACTTTGCAAACGACTGACTGCTGTCATGACACCAACAATAATGGCTTAATTTTTATGAAAGTTCATTGATCAAACGCAAACGAAAATGCGGCTGAAATTTTTCTTCAAATTTATGAAGAAAAAAAAAAAACTTTTGTACTTCACTTTTAATTTTTTAAATGTCAATTTTGACTTAACAAGGCATGGATAGCAAAAATATGATCGAAAATCTATCCCAACCAGAGAAGTTAGACAGCTAGTACCTTAAAACCGAGACGATTGACATTTTGAAAAATAAGATCCGATGATCTGATCGTGAACAAAACGTGAAATTAATTAGGTTATATTCCGTGCTAATTTCTGAAGAATTTCCTGCTGGCTGAGTCGTTCTCCGGAAAAGGTCAGGTCACAGCAGCGGCGGCGCGTCGTTAGCATTCACGAAGCTTCAGTTGTCGTGCAGTCTGGTCTGATGCATAATTCTGCTGAAGGTAATTTATTGCTAGACGAAGAAATTGTGATTTTCGGTCCCAGGGAAAATTCAGTATTGAGTCCAATGAGCGCCGAAGACAATTCAGTGTTTTAGGACACCTGATCGTCGTGGACAACTGAGCACTAAAGGCATCCGATTGGTCGAATTGTTTTTTTTTCTCAAGGTGCGGAAGAATACATTTGCGACGCTACGCTCTTTTCAATATTTTATGAAACCAAAGATTTTTAAAATAATAAAATGAAACAAAAATATTTCATACGAAGGATGAAACTTGGACGAAGTGATCACAGAATTTCTGAAGAAACAATTCGACAGTTATGAGTCCGACGTTCAGTTTTCCGTTGAGCTCAGGTGTCCGACGTCAAGTTTTCCTTGGAGCCCATTTTGACAGTGATCAAGTGTTCAATATTCGGTTCGGTGGCTCTGAATTTAGCCCTCATCGGAAAATACACACAGATGAGGCTAAATTATCGACAGAAGAGCAGTAGGGTGTGGTGAGGAGAGAGGTGATGTTATAATCCCTTCATTATTGGTACAGTACTAATTGTATATATTGCTGAAATAAATACATTTTAATCGACGATTAAGCTGACGTATTTTTCAGCGAAACTCAAATACTGTACTCCGAATTTTTGGATAAGGCTTGCGAAGTCTTTTTTCTCCAGCAGTATAAGCCTTCAAACGCGTATTCTAAGCTTATCACATTTCGAAATGATTTATCGCGCAAATTAAAAAAAAAATTAAGAAACTACGAACGTATAATTTACATTGGATACAAAATAAAATTCTGAAGCCCGGGATTCTTCGGAGTTTTTAA